AAATAATTGAGAAGAATTTGCTACCTTTCTATAACATCAAGAAATGGTTAGATATTCTAGTCTTCTCGGATAGGGACGAATAAATGGAGGTCCCGTCTTCTGCAGGGTTGGGGCAGGAGACGTTAATTTCCCACACACGAGATTACTGTGTGATGGATGTCCTCCCCTGGGGTGCGATGGGTGGGTTAGGACAGCAGGTCCACATCAGCTATTACAGCTGCCAAATTAATCAACCTACTTAAACAAATAAATGAACTTGAAGTTCAATAAATAGCGTCATAATAATAATAATAATAATAATAATAATAATAATAATTATAATAATAATAATAATAATAATAATAATATATCGATTTCTATAGCGTATTTCCATGTAAATGCTCCAATGCGCTTTACAACACTGTGCGGGGGACTTTTCCAGACTGCCGGCGGCAGTTTATAATTAATAAAGGAGAAATTTTATAGCTGCCCCCTCCCCCCATTCCCAGTAAACAGGCCAGACCACATCACAGTAATCTCGTGGTGTGGGTTCTTTAACGTCCCCTGCCCAAATTAACTAATTGATGGGTGCAGGAGACGGGACAACAACAGGAACTACCTGATGTTGCAAATGCAAACCTTAGGCTGACGAAAGCTTCACGAGTCGCGAAAAATACATTCCGCGGAATAGAAAGAACACCGACAAGGAGAATTAAGGAACTCTTTTTTGGGAAGTTTATCTTCTGGCATTTCATGTACTATTCCTTTAAACCCTCGTTGAAAAAAACCTCATGTAATTTTGAGAACAAAAAAGGAAGAAGAAAGGTAGAGAAGGAACCGACACGTACCGAAACCGTATCAGAAAAGATGACAGTGGCCCATAAAGAAAGATACATATACTCATAAAAAAAGAAAAAGAAAAAAAGGTAAAAAAGGAGGGAAAAAAAATGATAATAGTAAGGAGGAAAAATTGAATAAAACAACAAGAACGAAACACGAATTTCACGGGAGGGGTCACTCGGTCCCCAAGTCAGTTTGAGAGTTACTCCTTGTCCGCCTGCTCCAAAACATACTCGGGGAGAAGTTATTTAGTCCCCAAGTCAGATCAAGAATAACTCCTATAGCGTGATTCGATCGCGAACCCGCGACCTCGATGACCTCACTTGCACTTGTTGCGCGCGTGTGAAGAGTTTGCAAATACTGGGTTAGAGGGTAGGGTTAGGACATTTGTATGACTGAGAATGCAATGGAGCGTGTCTGGTCAAGAATAAAGGAAATGAAGCACAAAGAACTGATAGAATTGATATTCACGAGAAATATCAGCATAAGTGGTAATGGCGGACAGCCTTGTTTACTGGGGCTCACCAACCACAATGAATCAGACACTTCTAAAAGAAGGTATTAAGTGTGTGCTCTTCGCACATTCACACAATGTCACACGCCTGTAGTCACCCATTTTTACTTTTACATATTTTACAGATACAATTTCTTTTACTTTAAATCAGCATAGGTAATCGCAAGGGGCCGCGAATCGGGAAGCCTCTATTGATCTTAGCATCTGACGCACTGGGAGCCACTCTAGCTGGCATCATCTGTTTCCTAAGATGAGTTGCATGGAAGTCCCCCGAAAGTGTTGTTAAGCGCCATGAGAGTTTCTTGATATGTGCGCTATATCAATACTGGGCAGCTATATTATTATTATTATCATTATCATTATTATTATTATTATTATTATTATTATTAAGTCTACTGGTTTTTCCCTTAGCAGCTGATTTCATGTGTTCCTAGAAGTAGAAGTTTTCTCTTTTCTGGGTTTACCATAAGAGACTGCGTGCGCAGCACCAAATGCAAGCGGTAATATTCTGTAGATGTGCGGTCAGAAGAGCAGCAGCGTCCTCTTACTCCTTAACTCGGAAGAACAGGTACAGTTTGGAATCATCTACATAGTGTTTCAGGAAACACATGTTAGAAATGCTTGGGAGATCATGTAGATGTTAAAAAGGGGCGGTCCAAGAATAAATCCTTGGGGATAACCATCTACCGTCATTCGAGATTCTGACACGTTGGGATCCAGCACGCTGAGGTTGAGACAAGCGTTTCTTTCGTTCCAGTCAGCTGCTTAAGGGTGGCTCGTTCACATACTTTCGAAAATGTAGTTATGCAGGTAATAGGGACACGGGGCGACTGTTGCTTGGCACTCGCGATCCCCTCCTTCAGCAGTGGAATGACAGCTGCTTCTTTGAAAGGGCAGGACATCCTTAATAACTATCATCGGAACTTTGTCCAGCCCAAGCGCTTTATTTTTAGGGAAAAAAGTGTTCGATCTTTCGTATCTCTGAAGAGGAGACAGGATGGAACCGAAATTCCCCACTGAGTTACCAAAGCAGTGGCAACTGAAGGTATCTGTGAGGGTAAACCGTTTGCCATCACTGAGGATTTCGCTGTTTCTGCTGCACGGGCGCAAAATGACGTGCAGAAATCATTAAACTCGTCAGCGAGAACTTTCATATCCTTTAAGTTAACAGGCTATGATACTTATTTGCAAGAAATACAGCTCCTTACGGCTTTCCACATAAATTTTCCCTTCTTGCTACCATGGATTTCTTTCTGAAGGCTTTTTTTTTTTCAGCAATATGAAGCTTTCCCTTGACTTGATCTCGGTACAAAGGATATCTTTCCGGGTCTTCAAACATTCCTGTACGACGTGCAAGTTTGTGTAACATGTTCCTAGTGTCCATTAGTTCCTTAATTTCCTGGTCTGTAAACGGGCACTGACGATATTTGGCCTTCATGGACCGAATTGGTTCATGCTTGCTAAGCACCTCTAAAAAGTGAAGGTTGAAATGTTACAGCATCTCATTAACATCGTTGATCATGGAGATCTCGTGTCAAAGGACTTAAGCTAAGTCCTTCACAAACCTGTCGCTGTCATAGCGTTTTAATTTCTTGCTATGATTGTGTTTGTTCTGAAGTTGTTGCGCCATTGTTCAAAAATGGCCATACTGGGTCATTTTTCGCTTGTCTAACAAAGCCTATTGATATCAAATTTGAGCCACTTTTCTTGATACGGAAATAACAACAACAACAAGACATTTCAATATTTCGGAAGACAACACACCGCCAGCTATCTGCCTTGAGACGTACCTGTTGCTGAGAATTTCTAAGTGCATCATTGCGCACTGCAGCAGAAATTCTTGCCACCACGTCATCGTTGGAAGCCATGTTGAGAGAGGCGACGTTAAGTATTGGTCCGGCCGGGGCTCGAACCCTCCACCTCCCGCACAGTCCAGTGCTCTATCCATTGAGCTAACCGGGAGGCGGTGAACTCATTGTAGCAAATAAACGGGAAATGAGCTGGAAAACAGGCCACGTGGTTGTTACGTCTCCATACCAAATTAGGTAAATAACCAATTTTGCGCTAAATAACCAATTTTCCATGATTTTGGTTATTTAGCAAACAACCAATTTTCAGTTTTGGTTATTTACAAATAACCAATTTTCAGTTTTGGTTATTCAGAAAATAACCAATTTTCAGTTTTGGTTATTTAGCAAATAACCACTTTGCAATTTTGGTTATTTAGCAAATAACCACATTCATTTTTAGGTTATTTGCTAAATAACCAATGTCTCTTTTTGGTTATTCATAAATAACCAAACTGCAATGTGGTTATTTACATATAACCATACTTGTTTTGGTTATATACAAATAACCACTCTAAATAATAAAAATACATTTGGCGCCGGCGCCCCATAATGTGGTTTGTCATGTATTCCAAAGAAAAATGTCCTGTAATTTTCCGTGACGCTTACACAGCCTATTTAGCTCTGGATGCGGTGTCTGCTGCAAAAAATCATAATTGTAAGTTGAAACACACTTTTCTGGTCGCAAGTGATTCGATCAGTGAAATATAATTTTAGGTATAAATATACACCATGTAATTTCATCTCTTTTTTGGGACACTTTGTGTCTAGTCATGGCTGTGACATTTCACACACGTGGACGCCATGGATATGCAGTTAAGTTTTCGCCATACTTTGGTCAAAGATTCCTTTGTGCAACTTCACAACATTATGGAATAGCAGGTAAATAAAACTTTGGTACATTGCTTACAAAGTGAAAAGTGAATATTACAGCTACAAAGTAAATCTTTCTTCAGGAATTTACTTCTATGTTAAATGTATGTAAAGGAAGCATATTAAAGTACCTTTGACTTTTGTAAAATTAATTTTTACCTCATGCTAGGTGGTGGGACTTTATTTGTACTAGATATCCTTCCCAGTGGAATTCAAGTAATTGGAAGGTGAGCTACAGATTAAAGCGGGACTTAATTACTTTTATTTTTTAAAGTTTTTGCCACATTGTAATACAACCTTTAGTTAGAACTTAATTGCCGGCTTAATAAAAGAAATTTGTATATTATTTCTTAAAAGGTTTCAGGAGTTATATTCGATTGTACTGATCATAGGCCAATAAAACCTTTGGTTCTGATACAAATTCAAGAAAAGACTCTGCAAACACAGCAAAAAATGACCACTCTTAGAAACAAGGAACTTCAGGCGACTTAGGTAATACAGTTTATACAAAATTATTGAAATCCTTGTCATCATTTTGACAGATGGGAGTGGAGAGAGGGACTTTTTGACTGTTCTTGGAGTGAACACAATCAAGATTTTAGTATCACTGCCAGTGGAGATGGTTCAATTCAGATGTGGGATCTCAAAAACCCAAAGGTACATTTTGGAAGCTTGGACCTTTAGAGACTCTTTGGAAAACTGAGTTGTGGCATAAAAAAAATTATCAAGATAAGTTTGGTTAGTTTGGCAGTTAAGATCTCTTTGGTTCTGCAAGTCAATTAAGTTAGCTCAGGACTTTTCTTGTGTTTCAGAGAAGAGAACTAGGATCTGATTTATGATGATACAATGAGTGTCAAAGCAGTTGAAATTAACTCCCTATGTTTTGTTAAAGGGTCCTATAAAGGTCTGCAAAGAGCACAGTGCTGAGGTAGGAAGGACTAAATTAAAAGAATTAGTCATAAATCAAAATGAAAATATTACTGTTCTGAATAAGGTAGAGTAAGATTGCGATATTTTATATGTTTTTCCTGCTTATGTTTAGTGAGTGTGTGTGAGTGAATACTTTATTAATGTGTCAAGAGAGTTATAGCTACCAAGCTCATTGGGGATACAAAACAAAATTTCCTATCTACAATGGTTTAAAATGATATTCATATAAATATATACAATAAAATATAAAATCGGAGATAGACAATCATACACAGCAAAATGTATCAATCACGTGGCATATAAAATTTAGTTAATAAGCTATTATGTAATACAGGCATTGCATTTGCATGAACCATCTAAAAGGTTTGTAATATTGATTCTCCTGATGGCCTTCTCGAAGGCTTGAAGACTATTTTTTCTTCAAATATCTTGACTTATTTTCCCCCATAAATAGGGGCCTAGATATTTAACACTGTTTCCCATACTTCACTGTCCTGAATCAAGGAATGGGGAATTCTCCACATCTTAGATTATAGTGTTTATCTTGCTTATAGAAAATTTCACAAATGGGCTTAGTGCCAAGGAGTCTTGGACCTTCTACATTAGTATCAAAATGTCTTGAAGACGCCTATTTTCTAATACAACATAATAAATTTAAACCATGTTTACTTTTCTTTCCTGTACTTCTAAAGGTCTATGGTGTGGACTGGAGCTGTAATAGACAACTTGATCAATTTTTGAGTGCATCTTGGGATCACAGCATAAAACTGGTAAGTAATGGTAATAGGACTGAGTTGAGTCCAATTTGGTTTGTAATTTGATCTGTGGGTCACAAAATCAGACAGCTATGGAGCTCAAGTCTGATTTGTGAATAAGTATGATAACAGAGTACAGGACAACACACCATCCTGTTCCTGATTAATCAAAACTGTGACAAACTAGAGAAACAAACTAGCCATTTAAAAAAAAAAGTGGAGAATAGTGAACTTGGTGAAATGCGTGGCAACAGCATATATGTACATGTGTGCTAGCTGTTCAATTACACAGCGACATCAACTGGGGTGTGAGTATTATGAAACTGTCAAGTTACAAGCATGATGCATAGGTTTTATAAGAGTAGTTATGATGCTAATCTATTCCATGTAAAATTGTTATTAAAAAATAGCTGCAATATTAAATACTGTTATAGTATCACTTAGTTTATGCACTGACTGTAACTTTCTTTCTCAGTGGGATCCAAATGGAGCCCAATCTCTAGCTACATTTGCTGATCATCAGCATGTAGTTTACAGTGCAGTGTGGTCTCCACATGTTCCAAGGACATTTGCTTCTGCTTCAGGTTACTAAAACATCTCATTGTTAGTTGCCCTTCCCATAATCCATTGCCCATAATGCTAGAAGTTCAGTCTGAGAATTTGTTTCTAACCCTTTCATTCCGAAGATCTCATTTGTGTTGCATTTCTTCATACATACATAGGTTAATTGACCACTCCCCATAGGGGCTTTTCAGGGCCAACACCCACCCATCCCACCTAAGGGAGGACATCCACCACACAGTAATCTCGTGCGTGGGAAATTAACGTCTCCTACCCTTAACCCTGCAGGAGAGGGGGCCTACGGTTTGTTCGTCCTTATCCGAGAAGACTAGGATATCTAACCATTTCTTGACTATAGAAACTGCCATACAGTTCTTAGAGAACTTGATATTGGATCAACAGAAAATCCTCTTGAATTGATATTTTTCTGTGTTCTCATTACTTGTCTGCTTGATATTGTGTTGGTTCTGTGTGGAGAAATTCTTTCTTGGTCACACATGGAAGTTAAAGAGTCATATTGACCATTGTCTTCTTGATGATGGTTTTTTGCATTTTCCATAAGCTGTCTGTCTGGCCATGTGTTGTTTAAGAAAGAGGAATTAGTTATAAGTCACTCCTAAAATGAAGAAGGCTTACATTGCGAATGAGCAATAACTGGACTCATTAATTCAAAAGTAATTACAGTCGTTAAGAAGTGATCAAAGTAGGATAGAGATGAAGTCCATGGATAGAGAATTTAACCTGTGTTGGCAAGAGTTTGTGTTAGACAGCATAGCAATGATTAAGTACTCTAGAATTAACAAAAAAGAAGACCATCGTGTCATTAAGAAAATTAATTTGATTCATGTCCACAAAATTAGTAATTACATGTCAATAATTCTTGAAAACGCTGGACAATTTTGTAGGAGACAACACCCTTAGGATATGGGACATATCAGCCCCTCCACATGCTCAACAGACCATTAGGGCTCATGATGGGGAGGTCCTCACTTGTGACTGGGCCAAATATGATGTGGTAAGGGTCACAATTGACATACCAGTACTTGTACTTAATTCAGGACAGCAACTGTTAGGGGAAGGGTAGTTCTAACTTAGTTTACGTGTACATTTATTTCAAGAAAATAGCTCCAGTGGTCATTTTAATAGTTTACAGTGTGTGTGTACAGTACAGTAGGACTGTGTTCTCAGTTTTGTTTGTCTCAGGTGCTGTGGGAGAAATGACTGATGACAATTATTAGTTATATGTACGTCTGTGATCATTTGCAACTGAATGTACCAATTTCCTTCATTGGGATACAGTTTATTAACAAAATGTTCATTCTTTGTTTTGAATGCACATGCATTTGTATTAAAGATGACTCAACAATGAACATACTCAGTGATTAGCATATTAATTGAATACTTAACAATATAAAGGAATGTTTCACTTAATTGTCTGACATTTTTTGTATCTTTTGGAGAATTTAGTGGTGACTGGATCAGTGGATACAAAAATCAGGTACCAATTTGGTAATATCATTTATAAAAAATAATTTTTTGCAGTTGTTGGACATAGTTCTGTGAGACAGCATAAATTGAATTATAGAATAGACGATTAACTTTTTTGATAATATATATATATATTTTGTGGAATTTTAGTCAGTAAAGGTTATAGGTAAACACACCTTGTAGATTCATGTCGTAATGGTTGTCTTTCCTCCAATATATAGAGGTTGGGATCTGAGAAACATAACTGCACCTGTGTTTACACTAGAAGGTCACCAGTACGCAGTAAGACGAGTGAAGGTAAGAACCACTTTTAACCAGTTTGCAGGTGGGAAGGACAAGTTTAGCCTAAATGCCACTCCCTTTTACTAAAACAGCAATCCCACTTGCAACTACTTCAGTCACTATGGTGAGGAGTAAAACATTTTCTCTAATTTTTGGAAAACTGGCCAAATTGGCAACATGCGTTTGGCTGTCACAGAATGTTTTATTCTCTTGTGTGTAATTTTCCCTGGCAATCATGCAACCCTTAGCTCATAAATTTTAAAATCTAACTGGCAAGTTTGATAATTAATTTCTCACTCAGTCACCCTGTAAACCTCATATTTGGGAGGGTCCTACCGTATTCTCTGAAATAAATATTGAACTTTTTTTAGGTCCTAGCTTCTATTTCAAATTGATTATTTGTCATTTTCATTGCTACTTTCAATCACAAGACCCCAAGGACAACAGTGTTACACACTGATGGGTTTTCAATCCTGTATAAAAAATCGTTATTATTATTATTATTATTATTATTATCGAGAACAGTACTATCTATTAGTGCAAAGTGACTGAGGTCTTCAATCCCTTGATATAAAGAAAGCTGACTATTAACAATAAATTAATTCTAATTCTGCTCAAACAACTGTTACAAACAGTAGCTTAAATAAGATGATACTGTAGAATGATATAAAAGTCGTGTAAAAGTAGTGGTCCTTCCCTTATCAACAGGCTTTCTTGATCAGTGTACACAGTTATATGTATGAACATTTTCCAAATATGTATTCATATCAAGAAGAGTTATTATCAGGGTTGATAACAAAAATTTATCACTTCATCTATTATTTCTCATCAGTGCTCTCCCCATAACGGCACCTTACTGGCATCTTGCTCCTATGACTTTACAGTTCGAACTTGGAACATCGGCAATGGAACATGTCCATTAGAGACTACAGAACACCACACAGAATTTGTTGTGGGATTAGATTTCAATCTTCATCTTCCAGGACAGGTCATTTTTACATTAAAAAAAAATATCTTGACATATTAGTGATAATGAGACCAATAGTTTGCCAAAGTCCAGGCCTGCAGTAAAGATCTAGTGATCTAGAAGACATTGCTGTATCGTGATTATTTCCAGATGGATATGAGCTTGTGTTGTTGCCAAGTATTTGGAGAGGCGAGAGGGTTAAGTCTGCAAAGAAACCATAGTGGTTATTGGTAATACAAGATAATTTGGTTTTATTAACGAAGTTGATACATGTAATTCTAGTAACTATAAATCAACCACCATAAAGAGTCTCTAAAGGCAATGTTTCACATGTTAGTCCTTCATCAGAGCACTCTGATGAACTGCAAAGTGCCAGCTTTAATACTTTGCAATGGCAAATTTTGCATTATCGATTCAGTTGAGGTGTTGAACTTGACTTCATTCATAGAGGGGATTTTAAAAAAAGAATGGCCCTGTGAACAGTTTAAACTATGGCAAAGAGTACTGGTCATGATCAATTTAGGCAGATTTTCCTCTAATTCTTCTTCCATGTTATAGATTGCTGACTGTTCATGGCATGAAAAAGTGAAAATACACTCTCCCCCTTCTCTGCTGTAAAGATGACTATCATGAAAAGACTAACTGCTACAGTAGATTGTAATTTAAAATTTTTTTTCAATAATACACACTTACATGACAAAATATCTTTATTAGCCCAATCTACTACTTTCTTTAATTATTTATGTGAGAACAATTTGCTTACAATGATGTGAAACTTAACGCTTGGTTTAGTTCATTAATGATTTATATTCCATGAGCAGGGCATTATGCATCAGATCCAATATTTTGCTCTACACAATGTAATTTTCCCTTACTAGTAAATAATTCTATGATATGAAATAAATATTTTGTCCAACATAAAATACATTTGAGACAATTTTCTAAAATTCTTACATTTGAAATGCAAGAATTACTACAGTACAACCATAATGGTTTCAAGTGTTGTTGCTTGCCTTTGAACTGAATATAGATTGAATTACATGTAATATGTCTAGACAAATACTTGATACATGTATGTTATCTGCAAGTATTTTACACAAAATATGACATTACTCACATGTGGAATTCCACACAAAAATAACATCTACATGTGTACCAGAAATTAAAAATAATTAGCACTGACAGTGACTAATTATCTGTCCTGAACTGGACAACACCTCCCAGAGGTTGGGTACAAACATCATATAGAACACACAATTTAAAACAATTTTCAATGATACAGTAAATACTTTTGCAATTCAGGGAATAAAGAATTCATCTGTGAAAATTTCCCAGTGAAATAAATTTAGAGTTGTTTCAACATTGAAATATCAATTATATTGATATGTATTTTAATTTTTCAAAGAAATAAAGATTTACTTATAAACTTTATAAGAATACTTTGCCCCAAGTAAAGAAAATCGAAGACTAGCATTGGCACTATGATTACGATTTTACTCTAGAATTGTGTGGATAGTGGTAAATGCTTGTGTTGAACATGCTTAGATGCTAGCCAAAACAGTTGGCTAGCAACTAATCTTTCCTTTTATTTGAACTCCAAGCTTTCACTCCTACAATCCATTAGCAATTCTCCTTACTGTCTGCCATACAACTCTTATGATGTTAGCTTGGAGAATTCAGCTTTCGATCAACTATTCTCATGACTTGTCTGCTTAAATTAATGCTCCCTAAATTTAACCATTCTCATCTTGTCTACCCTTTGTTTCCAAATGAGTAAGTGATATCCTTTTTAAAGATATGATAATACTCTGACTTTTATGGCATACAATATTTGGAAATGGCTCTTTGTAAAATGGATGAAATCAAAAGCATACTGCCATATGTAGTTCTCACTGCTCTTTCTTCTCCCTTTTGTTTACTCTGGGTCTATCAGGTGGGAAGAGTACTATGATAACAACACCCATGCCTGCTATAAGGGAACCAATGCAACCAGGCCCATAAACACTAACCTCCTGAGCAAACCCACCTAAAGCAGGAGAAATCATTCGTGCAAATGACAGTAATGAGTTCCCTATCCCTAACATGACACCTTTCTCATCCTCCCTGCCCCTGCGGAAAGTCAGATTAGTTGTGCAGACACGGCAGACTGCACTCGAGATTGCCAGTGGCGTAATGAAGATTGGAATAAACAATATGCTGGGTGAAAATGTTATGCCTAGAAGTGATGCCATAAGAATTAGTGAGAAGTGAAGTTGCATCTTTGCATCATTGTGATTGTACAATTTTGCTATCTTTCCCACTAGAATTCCAGAAAAACCACCAACTAGACCATTGTAAGACATAATATAGCCATTGGTTTTTGGACTTGTATTGAAGTGGAACTCTAACATGGATGTGAAATTGCTGCGAAAGACTAGCATCAAAAATCCCATCACAAAACGAATTACTATCAAATCTAGTGATGAACTCATTGAAGAAATTTTGTATATACTTGTTCCATTGGATGTGGAGGTGCCTGCTCTTCTACTGAGTTCTTTTCTATACTTCAGTTCTTTCCTATCTAGTTCACTTTCTATGTGGTCAGCCATTTTGTTGTTTACTGTAATGTCATCAGCAAGGAGTAGATCATGTTCTTGCCTTGTAGAAGACTGCTTTCTTACTTGTTCAACTGGTGCCACAAAGAACCATACAAAGAAAAAGTTGATCAAGAAAATGCATCCAGTTAAGGCAGTCACCCTAGAGAAACCATTTGACTGCATGGCCAAGTGTCCGCCTATCAAAGGACCAATTACAAAACCTAGACTGGAAAATGCATTAAAGTTCCCAAACACTTTAGGATGATCAATAGAGGGTGAAACATCTGAAAGATATGTCTTTGCAACACTTTGACTGTGCTTGAAAATCCCTGAAAAGAAACAATACATGTTTATCTTAAGTAGCACAACAAAAATGACCCAAGCATCTTCCCAAACACCACACTACTAGGATTCTTCACTAGATGTATTTTAATTTTATGTTAATACCCACTCTCCTCTGCAGGAGCTATGGATTGCAGTAAACAGTAAAAATTGACAAGCATTGAACAGGTGGACTCATTCCATACTTATAAACCAGAAAAAAAAAAGGATCTCACCTACTGGAACTCTGCTCAGTGCTAGAAAAAGTAATGTTGTTGGAATTCCTGTCAGAATATAACCTACAGCTGCACCAAAGAGGCTAATCAAAAGAACATTTTTTCTTCCAAATATATCACTCAGTTTGCCCTACAAATAGGAAAAATGTACACTAATGTACATGTATATTAGTGTACCACTAATATACATGTACATTAACTTCAAGTTCAATAATAATTCAAAGCTGATTCAAAGTCATTCAAAATCAAGTCTGCCATATTAATTATGTAAGCCACAGTATTTTATATCACACAGTATATTACACTAGTCGAGGCTTGCCTTCACTGTGAAAATAGGAGCAAATCTTGGAACATTCCATGTCAGTGTAAATTTACTTGTGATCTATCACAAAAGGTTTGAACACAGAGGTAACATTTTAGGAGAGTTTTATGATGACTTCCTTTGTGTTTGAAACATCAATCATTACTGCTGATGACAGACATTCTCAGCACTAGACTCCCGCGTGACTAAGTTGGGAACACGGAAATTACATTCGCCCAAAACTAAGATAGAGTCTATAACTGCCCAAAGAATAAACGATAACATGGTACACACCAAGCACAAGTTAACCAAATATCCTTCCCTCCCCCAACAGGGAAATATCAAAAATCTTGTACTCTAATCAGCTTCATGCTACTCACAATGAATTCTGTAATGTTTGGTAGGTGAAGTGAATAGGCTACCAGTGTGATGTGGTAAATAAAATTCAATAAACGCCTGAGCTTTGATGCTGAGTTTTGAACGACAAGTAGATATATACAAATTGTAACAATTACATAATATGCTCTCAAGATATCTATGCCTCCCTTGGTCAATTTTTACTCATATCAACTGTCACATAAAAAAACAAGCTCATAATCTTGTTTTTAAGTATACTTTGTGAAAGTGTTGCGTGACTTGATGCACATAGCCAAACCTCTTACCATGACAGGACTGGAAAAGAATTGAAGGGCACCATATACAGACCCTGTAACATAATAAAACAGAAAACTAATAATTATACAGATAAAAATCCAGCCTTAACAACTTTTTCTAAGCAATGTTTTTCAAAATTCCAAGTCTTGAGTATGTAATTTGACGACACCAAAAGATCAGTGAAAGAATAGGAATCTTCTGTCTCTGTTCAACTTGTTCTTTTTTTTACGTGACATCTTTTTCTGGACAATTTATAAGTCAAGAACTATAAGAATAAACACGGAGAACTTCCCATCGAGAAGAAACACCAAGGGTTTCAGGGTGAGGTCTAATGAAACAACGCATTAACAGTGCAATTTAACAATGAACTAGTAAGTTTTCCAGGTAGAGGAAGTTCGTTTGTTTAAAAGTGTGCCTCTTTACGGATCCACTAACCTATCACTCCGACAAGCGACGGTGATGCCCCAAGCTCTCTAGCTCTGTGTGTGAGAAGAGGTAAGAAGCAACTTACAGCGAACAAATCCTGTTAGACATAAGACAACAACAATCTTTGGTCTCTTGTTGAATGTTTGATTATACTCATCTCAACAAGATTGAGTTATTGAAAAAGCAAGCGGCACCGGTCGATCATACCAGAAATCCTACGCAGTACAAACAGTAAATCAGCACAGTTCCCTCTTTCATCTTGAGAAATGAAGCCAAAGTCATCTTTGGCCACTTCGAACCGAGAACACCATGCATGTTCAGTTTGTTTGATTACAATAAACACAAACTAAAACTCAAATTGGTCGTCCAAGGACTGGGCGCGCGATTTGATTGGTTTGTCCTTCCACGTGTCAGACTCTTGACTCGTCACGCAAACAATTTGGCCACCAATAACATTACGTCATGACAATAGCGTGATGCTTTAAAACTGCCCCGCTCTTTAAAACTGCCTTGCTTTTACTTTTTAACCTCTTTTCGGGTGAACTCGAGAAAAACATAACCATTCAGGGTTAAATTTAAAGATTCAAGTCCCTGAAGTGCAAATACATCTATCATTAGAGCAAGAATGCTACTCCAAAATAGAGAACACATCATATTCCATGCTTTATAAACAATTTATGAACCAGTTTTGTTTCTTTTACTGAAAAGCATACTTTATGAATAAAAAGTATAATTTTCTAGAACGAGCATAGTTTTGAGAATAATTAAGAAAAACTCGAGTAGTGTTAGTTGCAATATAGGCTACTTTTACTAGCACTATCGATCTCAAAGGTACAAGTTTGGCTACTGACAATTGATGGCGGTTTTTTTGCGTGGTCAGTTAGTGAACATGAAGATTAGAGAGCCACGAAAAAAAACCAAGTATATTTTTCAGGGCTTCACAGCCAAAAACTCCACGGAAACAGCCATTTGGGAAGTTTGTCATAACATAGCTATGTTGATCGAATTCAAGATTGACAAGGCTGAATATTCTTATCCTTAGATTTCCTGTTTTTCGACAGTGTATAGTCTTTCAGCATACGAAAATCTTACGGTTTTAGTTTTTGAGGATCGCTTAATTAATCGTAAAATTAAGTTCCTGCAGGCACATAAACTTTGTGAAATAAAACGCTGCTGGGAGTAGGAGTACACTTTGTGTTTTGTGCTTTGGTTTTATGTCATGATAGCCCTTTTAAGTAAGATTTCATGGGATACAAAGAACCTTTTCTAATACTAGATATTATTACACGACTCGGGCAGTCAGAGGGCCAATAACTAAAATCAACCAATCAAAATGCTCTATTCCCGGTCCAATATTCTCTAAGTATTGGACCGGGCACTGTCCCGAATGGTCCCGAATGATACCGCACTTGTGTCCCTTTGAACTTCGGTCGTATAATAAATCTCTTATTAACCAAGCTTGCTCGGGACCGTACTGGAAGAATATCAGCCCTCGGTCTTTTTTGTACGGACCTCGCTGCGCTCGGTCCGTACTGTCAAGACCTCAGGCCGATATTCTCCCAGTACGGCCCTCGCGCTTGGTTAATAAGATATATGTATATATTGTTACTCAACAAACAATGAAATTTTATATAATATCCGGAACAGAAAAACCCAACTGGAAATAAGTTTCCCGAAGAAATTGCATCTGATAAATTCGTTCATACGGAACGAAAAAAAACTCACTGGTCCACAAAAAAAACCTACCACAAATTTCATGCCACATGCCTAGTGAACCAGTTTGCTTCTTTCACTGACTTTCGATGAGTAAGAAACAATTTGTGCTCCTTTTAGATGTCTTTTATCGG